CGCAGACATCGGCAAGACTCAGCTGGCCGGCTTCAGCAGGCGCTGTTTCATACGATGTATACCTGGCAACCGGTAGTGGGGTTCCAACAGTCCTGGTCACCAATACCACGGCATTGACCTACTATGCAACCACGCTTACCGCCAATACGCTGTACAGCTGGTATGTTGCACCAAGAAATGCGAATGGGGCCAATACTGCCTGCGGTAGTACCAACAGAACCAGCTTCACCACAGCGGTGGCAACGGGTGGTGGAAATATATCACCGGTATCAAATGCGGGCAGCAATACATCCATCACATTGCCTGTAACCAGCGTAACACTGGATGGCAGTTTGTCTTATGACCCTGATGGCAGGATTGCAGAGTTTTACTGGTACCAGATCCAGGGGCCGTTCACCATCAGCACGCCGTTCTCCATGACACCCACTGTTACAGGGCTTAGCACTGCCGGTAACTACATCGTTGGCCTGCAGGTAAAAGACAATAATGGAGTAACCGCTTATTCCCAGGTAACAATTACAGTAAATGCAGCGGGTGCAAGGATAGCAGATGCTAACACCCTAGTGGCACAACCTGTAAACGCGCAACTGAACGTGAGCGGGTCTGTAGTGGCTACCCTCAGTTCCACCATTAGTCCTAATCCTGTTAAACCAGGGCAGTCTGCCAGGTTGCAGATAACCAGCGACAAAACAGGAACCGCTACTGTGAATATTATTAACAGCAATGGCTTTATTGTCAGCCAGCAACGACTGAACCTCGTGAAAGGCATCAATAATACCATGGTAAATACTTCTTCACTGAGCCAGGGATTCTATATTGTAAATATTGTTGGAGGCAGCAAGCCGCTTAACAGTAAATTGCTGGTAGAGTAAAAAATGAATAAAATAAGATCAAAAGGGGCCGGTAAAACGGCCCCTTTTTTTTGCAGTTTTTTTTAAGCGGAAACCGGCGCAGTTTTCTTACCGGTACCCACAGGACCGCATAGACAAAGGACGGCGCTCATTCCCTGGGCCTTTGCTCTAATATCATTGTGATATTGGGCTGTCGTCAACGGCGCGAACGGCGCAGATCAATAAAAATGCCGTATTAAATTTTTGCCTGATGGGGCATGAATTCTACAATCCGTTACTGCCTGGCTATACAGGTAGATACCCAAATTAGCAAAATATGCAGAAATAACTTGTCAGGATGCAACAGTTGATGCTTTTGACGTGTTATACACCGTGTTAAGACTCCTTCTCATGTGGCATAGCAATTGGTTTAATACTACCAGACTTGATATAGAAAATTGACGATTCTCAACAGCCAGCCAGGGTACAGTCTCATTCAATCTTACAATCCGTTTATTTATTAAAAGGACGCCCGACATAAGGCGCCTGTCATTTTTAAATGATTTCATGCATGAAACATTTTTCCGTAGTTGTTATGTTATTGCTTTTGGTTCAAATCAGCCGGTCACAAACAATATTTAATCCAGCGGATCCGGTTCTGGCGTACGATTCTACTGCCGCGCCGGGTTCTTCCAGGAATCCCACCCAACCGGGTGTGAACAGTATTGCAAAATGGGTATTCACCCCAAAGCTGCCCTGGAACACCAGCCGCTACAAGTCGTACATTATTGGTAATTTCCCATTCCGCCTGCGATATCCTGATTCCTATCAACCTGGTGTAAACGATGGCAAAAAATATCCCGTCATGCTTTTTTTTCATGGGGGTGGAGAAGCCAATCCCGATATCAGGGACAACGAATGGCAACTAATCAATGGGGGCCAGTCCTTCGGTGATAAAATATTTTATGGCGGACAGGATGCATTCATCCTTTTTCCCCAGACAAAATATGTAGGCTGGGATGATAGCTATTTTTCTGCCATGAACATCGTTATTGACTCGTTGGTAAAAAACTGTAAGGCAGATGAAGACCGGGTAGTTTCCATGGGACTTTCAATAGGTGGCTATGCTTCTTTGACCTATGCCATGGCTTACCCCAAGAGGGCTTCCACCATTATTGCCAGTTCTCCTGTGCAGATTGGCAGTACCTACCCGGTGTTAACCCAGGCTGTACATGTGCCTTTATGGATGGGTACCGGTGGTAAAGACTTCAACCCCGACCCTTCTTCAGCCCAAAATTTTGCAAATTTTTACGGCAGTTCGGGTGGCGACCTCTTCTGGAGTTTTTACCCGCAACAGGGACATAATATGTGGGATTACCAGTGGTCAGAAGAACCCAATTTTGGAAACCGGATGAGTACTACCCATAAAGCCAACCCATTGGTGTATTTTAATAACCGTTTCTTCTGCCCTGGAGGTCCTGTGTCTGCCAGGATGGGCATTACCGCAGGCTTTTATGCTTATCAGTGGGATAAAAATGGCGTTGTGATAACAGGCGCTGTCAGCAATGAATACACAGCAACAGATTTTGGTACTTACCGCGCACGTTTTAAAAGATCAGCCACCGCAGAATGGTCTGCATGGTC